CTTGCTATGTACTCACAGGGATGATACAACACAACAGACATCTTGCTATGTACTCACAGGGATGATACAGGGGACACAACACAACAGACATCTTGCTATGTACTCACAGCCATGAGACAGGGGACACAACACAACAGACATCTTGCTATGTACTCACAGCGAAGAGACAACACAACAGACATCTTCCTCTATGTACTCACAGCGATGAGCCGGTCCATGACTGCCAGCCGCCCGTCCTGCTCCGAGGCCCCGCCCTCGATGATCTTGGTGACGAAGATGCCGTTGTCCCCTGGAATGTGTTGGTTGCCCCTCCCGCCGGCGATGCTGAACCCCAGACCTGGCGACAAAAACAGTGAAATGGTGAGGGTTTTTTAGTTGTTTAGTTTTTGTAAGAGTTTTACGGCACTTACAACACAATAAGGTCATATAAGTGCCAAAGATTAGATGTGTTACAAGAGAGTAACGAACATAAAACAGAAGGAGGAGAGATCAGGCGGCTTGTAATTCTAAGGTTGTGACATGTCAGGGAAGAGACCTATAACCATGTAACCTGTTGTGTAAACTCTTTTTAGTTTCAGTAAGAGTTTTACGGCACTTGCAACAAAATAAGGTCATTTAAGTGCCGAAGATTAGAGGTGTTACAAGAGAGTAACAAACACAAAAAAGAAGGCAAACCACACCAGAGCACCCGCCAAGCACCCACAGCGTAACGTCTTGTACATGTACAGGTAAATAAATGGCTTGTGTCTGTGGCCGACCGTTCGGCACTTGGCCACCACAGGCACAAGACAAAGATCTTATTGGATAACTGTGTGGGGAGGTTGTGACGGAGTATCTCGGGGACACGCACACACAAACACACACACGCACATACAAACACACACACATACGCACACAAACACACGCACGCGCACTACACACACACACACACACACACACACACACACCATTTCTTCTGCACAGGGAACATGAACCCAAAATGGCTAGCCTGACCCACGACTCGTCTGACCCATGACCTACAACCCCCCTGACCCATGACCTACGACCCCTGCCTCACCTATAGAGTCGTTGACCTCTGGCAGGTAGGCTGGCTTAGCAATGGTCAGCCTGACCACCTCGGCCGTGCTCTTGAGCGCCTGTACCGCCTCCTCGTGGCTCACGTCCTCCAGGTTTGAGTCGTTCACCTACAGGGGAGGAAAAAACAAAACATTCCGTAATAATAATAATGTCCATCATTTCTATAGCACCCACTCCCGTGTAAACACAGCTCTAGGCGCTTTACATAAATGCAGGTACGAACAATATTCACAAATGCACACACACACACACACTCATGCACACACCACACGCACACACATGCCTACCACACACACACACACACACACACACACTTGCCCACCACATACTCACGCTTACACATCATACAAATAGACAACAACAGGCACCTGTATATTGTTTTTGTGTACTGATTCTGTAGAAACCTCACTTTTTGCATCATCAAAAAAGGAAAGAAAACATCTCTCAAATTCATCCCTGACTGGTCACTTGTGGTACAAGGTAAACAAAATGTTTCACAAATGAGATGTTTAGTTTAGTTTTAGTAGAGGTTTTACGGCGCTCGCAACTGTATAAGGTCATATGAGCGCCAGAAGAATAGAGGTGTTACAAGAGAGTAACAAACATAAAAAAGAAGGAGGGGCGATAAGGACGATAGATGTTTGATAGGAAAGAAGAAGCAAACCACACCAGAGCACCCGCCAACAACTCACAAATAAAAAACATTGAGTCGTTCACCTACAGGGAAAACGACAAACAGACAGGCAGACAGACAGACAGACAGGACACATGGAGAACGAAAAGAAGCAAGACCTACCAGCTGTGTCCTCCAAACAGCCACAGTACAACACACACGTACAACACACACGTACAACAAACACGTACAACACACACGTACAACACACACGTACAACAAACACGTACAACAAACCCACAGACAGAACGTCACGAGAACACGGCACAGACTGACACGGACGATGACAGGGGGGACAGGGGGGACTGGGGACATAACCCAACAGACATCTTGCTATGTACTCACAGGGATGATACAACACAACAGACATCTTGCTATGTACTCACAGGGATGATACAGGGGACACAACACAACAGACATCTTGCTATGTACTCACAGCCATGAGACAGGGGACA